TCTCCAACTCTAGCTGCTCGTCACGCGCACGGCGAACACGAGCCTGGTGCCTAGTCGGGTAGGGGTGGGGGGGCGGAGTAGTGTCCGAAGCAGCGGCAGCTCCAGAGTCAACCCCCGAAGAACCAGGCGCACCACCCCCAGAGGCAGCACTAACACCAGCTCCAGACCCAGGCGCACCAGAACCCGAAGCAGGCGCACCCTCACCCCCAGAGGGAGCACCCCCAGAGTCCGCGCGGCCAGCACCGGCTCCCGGACGACAAGAGTCCTCTGCACCCACCGGGTCAGCTCCAACTCCAGAACCAGAAACTCCAGCTCCAACTCCAGCACCCCCAGAACCAGAAACTCCAGTGCCTACTCCAGCTCCACCTCCAGCTCCAACACCAGCTCCAACTCCAGTACCCCCAGAACCAGAAACCGGTACAGGAACAGGCGCAGCACCAACCTCTCGAGAGCTAGCACCAGCGGCACGCTGCGAGGAGGACTGTGGGGAGGGAGGCTGTACCGGAGGGGCTACCGAAGGAGGAGGGGTAGCCTGGGACACACCTGACAGGGCTGGGCCAGGGGGGGGAGGCTGTACCGGGGGAGCAGGAGGGGGAGCGGCAGTCAGGAAGAGGGGGGGAGGAGGAACCGGGAGACCTCGACTGGGGTACCTGACGTAGTACGGAGTGGACTCCTCGAAACGGACGTCACGGGAGTCAAAGAACCGGTGAGAGGGAGGGTGGTAAAAGGTGAAGTCAGAGGAGTCCTCAGGGAAACCAAGGAAGACACAGGGGACGGCACGAGGCGAGAGCTTGTCCGCGGAGGTGTCGCGGACAAGAGCCAAGCACCCCCAGACACGAAACCGCGACGCAACACCAGGGGACCCTGTCCAAAGACTGGTCGGTGAAACCTCTGGTCGAGAGACACGTGGCCAGAGGTTCAGCTGGTGCGCGTCGTACCTGACCGCGAAGGGCCACAGAAAATGGGGGGCACAGGCGTGAGTCAGGGAGGTGCGGGCGATCTCCATGACCAGGCCTATGCGGCGCTTAGCAACCCCATTCTGCTGTGGGGACTCTGGAAGCGTCCAGGACTGACGAATGCCCTGCTCGCGACAGAATCCAGCGAGAATGCCGGAGCGAAACTCACCCCCACGGTCGGAGTGGAGACAGCTGACACGACGACCACGAGTGTCCTCGGTGGTGAGCAACCACCTGATCAGCGTAGAAGTCACCTCAGACTTCTTCGCCAGAGGGAACACTGTGGTGTAGCGGGAGAAGTCGTCAACGACCACCAGAAAGTAACGCTCACGCTCAGGGCCTAGACGAGGGGCGGGGCCCCAGACGTCCAAGTGAAGCGTCTCAAAAGGCTCGGTGGCCGGACGAAGGGAGGAGGAGTGAGGGGTGGCGCGTAGCCTACCCTCGACGCAGGGACGACACGGCGGCGCAAGCGAAGGCGGCAGCGACGGCAAGACACGTGGGAGGCCTAGGACAAGACGCTGACTAGACATAGCGCGCAGACGAGGAAGGGACGGGTGCCCCATCCGGTGGTGCCACAGAACGGTGGGGTGGGCAAGCGACCGGCAGGAGCACGACGCAGCGACTGGAACAGACGTAGGAACCTGACACGACACAGACACCTGGGGGGACGAAGCAACCTGGTGAGACGCGGGGACCCGAACGGGGGGGGGGAACCGGGGGCAGTGGTAGTAGGGGGGGCTGCTGGTGCGGCCGCTGGTGCTGCTGCTGCTGCTGCTGCTGCTGCTGCGGCTGCGGCTGCTGCTGCTGCTGCGGCTGCTGCTGCGGCGCACGTGGGCCAGTGTGAAGAGTGTAGAGACCCGAGCCCGGCGCAGCAGTAAAGGTAGCAAGAGGCTGGTAAGAGTCTCCGTCAACACACACCGCAGTCTCTCCAGAAGGCTCAAACCACACACCCACGTGCTGACTCACGAGGGGTCGCACGCCCACCAAGTTCCGGGAGAACGAGGGGACGTGAAACCCAGTGAGAGACCCGGAGGGAGTAGCAGGACACGGTAAAGTGGTAGTGTGACGTGCAGTGACTGGTCCCGTAGTGGGATCAGCCAACGCCACAGAAACAGGCGCAGGAAGTGGTGTAAGTGTCGTGCTGTCCCGGAAGAAGCAGTGGGAGGCTCCAGAGTCCAGTGTGAACGACAGCGAAGCGTCCCCTGAGGTAGTCGCTGGTCTAGAGTCTACACAAGTACCTACACTAGCAACAGGCAACTGAGCAAGACTAGCACCTAAGCTAACAACACCAGAGTAAACAGAGTCAGAAACACTAGAGTCCACAACAGGATACATAGCATTTGGAGCACTAATCAGATCAACTAACTGCTCAGCAGACATGCCCCACAGAGCGGAGCCGTAGCGCTGAACCAGAGGAAGCCAGTCAGGAGCAGGACCGCCAACCCCGTAGGTCAACCGGACCGTGTCAGTAAGCTGAGCAAAGCACTGACCAGGGGGGTTAAAGCGGCCACAAGGGTGGCCCCGACGAGGACCTGTCTGAACCTGGTAGGGGCAGGGAGGGTAAGCCGCACCGCGCTGGGGCTGACGCAGCCCCGACCCCGGAGCCAGCTGCTGACGCTGCTGCTGCTGAGGCTGCTGGGAGGAAAGGGGCTGCTGCTGCTGCTGCTGAAGGTGCTGCTGACGCTGAGCCTGGTACCACGCCGCTGCTCCACCTAGCGGGGCCGGCAGTACAGGAGGCGACTGACGAGCTCGGGGGTCGCCGCCACCAGCAGGTGCAGTGGAGTCACCAGCCGCTGCACGAGGGGTCTCTCCAGACGCTGCACTCCCACCACCCCCAGTCGCAACAGCACCCCCACTACCTCCGCTACCTCCGCCTCCACCTCCACCAGAACCACCTTTCTTGCCCCCCCTGCCGCGGGACCGCGACGCAGTCGTAACAGCAGCCGCAGTCGCGTCAGTAGCGGCAGTGGCAAGAGAGGCAGTGAAGGTGGGTAACTGCGGGACTGTGCACCCGTGGAAGAGTGGGGGGGACACAGTACCAGAGGCGGCAGCTACCGAACGAAGGTTGCTCTCGACGTCCTTGAGTGCAGACTCAAGGACCTCGATAGTCAGCTCACTAGGGTGCTTCAGCAGAAGCACGTCACGAACGGAGGCAAGGCGGTCAGGGAGGCTAGTGGCGATGAAATAGACAGTGATCGCCATGGGGGGAGGAAGCAGTGTAAGCTGTGCCTTAGTGCAAGCAGCGCGGTAACTAGCGTCGAGCGAGCGGAGGTGAGAAATCAAGTCAGCAGAGCGCTCAAACGAGGCAAGATCAGGAAACAGGAACGGGAGGAAAAGACGGCCAAGAGAGACAGTAGCGGGAGTAGAGTAGCGGGCCTTAATCGCAGTGAGGTACGCAGCAGCGGTGCGAACCTGAGTAAAGTGGACCTCCTCGGACTCAGGGAGGAGGCTGCTGAGTGCGATGCAGGCCGCAGCGTCACGCGACGTCCAAGCCGTCCGGTCAGCGCGCTGACGGGCAAAGCGAGCCGTAGCAGCGTCGTCAGGAGCAGGGCCTAAAGCTGTAGGCTCGGGGGGCTCAGGGAGGTCACCAGTAGCGTGTGACCAGAGGGTCTCGCCCCCCTGGACCTGACTCTCTAACAGACGGCGAGCGCGAAGAAGCCAGACGGAAAAGTCAAGGGGTCTACCGTCAGCGTCGAAACGAAGAACTCGCGGAGTCGCCATAGTGAGGACTAAAGCGAACGAACAGGCGAGTAACAACCGGGGGGGAAGAGGACTCAGTCGCAGCGGAAGAGCGGGCTAGAGCGACGGGCCAGTACGTAGGGTAGGGCAACGGGCCAGGGCCTAGGGTAGGTCGACGGGCCAGGGCCTAGGGTAGGGCGACGGGCCAGGGCCTAGGGTAGGGCGACGGGCCAGGACTTAGGGAGGGCGACGGGCCAGGGCCTAGGGTAGGGCGACGGGCCAAGGCTTAGGGCAGGGCGACGGGCCAGGGCGTAGGGCAGGGCGACGCGACGGGGGAAAGGGCGGGAGCGACGCGACGGGGCAGGGCGACGCGACGGGACAGGGCGACGCGACGGGGCAGGGCGACGGGACGGGGCAGGGCGACGCGACGGGGTAGGGCGACGCGACGCGACAGGGCGACGGGACGGGGGGGGAACAGGCGGGCACGACGCGACGGGGGGAACGGGCGCGACGCGACGGGGGGAAAGGGCGTGACGGGGGGGGGGGGAAAGGGCGCGACGCGACGGGGGGGGGGGGGGGGGGGGGGCGCTAGGCGACGGGGAGAAAGGGCGCTAAGCGACGGGGGAAAGGGCGCTAGGCTCGGTAACAACGGAACTGGTACAAACGAGAGGTAGGATCAGGCTCAGGAGGTACGAACGGAGAACGGAGGAACGGGATCCCACAGGATCCTAACCTAGCTGATACCATGTCAGAATGAGGAATGGTGTTTCCATTGATGCTGGTTGGGGTACATATGACAAACCCTAACTTCTGTACCCCCTAAGACAAACCTCACTACAGGCTACAACATTTGACAGTAGGTGTGTGAACGACTTCACTTCGGCATGCTGTTACTATGTTGATGGGTAGGGACTTCCATGAGTCTCTGTTGGGTAGGCAGCACACAGCATTGCCAGAAGTAGCAACACAAGTGGCCATGTCCCATGTTTGAGAGGACATGTTGCCATGTCAGAAAGAATTACACCTCTGTTGCGTGTTCCTGATTGTTTTCCATGAATTATTGAACCAAATGTGAAAGGTCCCCCTATTCTGTGATGTTAGAGGTCCTTCATTCCCTGTTCATCTGCCACACTGCATATTACCGTATGCTTCCCTGGTGTGTGTTACCCTATTTTCAATCGTCCACGCTGAGACCTTGTTGTCCAAATAATTACCTAACCAGAGCTACCATCACTACCGGCATCTAGGCAATTATAGATATCTAAAATACGGTATAATTTTAAAAACATTCGGGCAATAATAGAGCTCCCCACTGTCTTCGGTCTTCTGGGCCCTTCTTGGTCACTAGGGGCTTAACCCCTAGTGTTACACCCACACATCGCGCTGAGGTGGGGACCCTTCGTGTGGGACCGCAGCCCCTAAACGACAAGAGCCGGGCTGCGGCGTCCCACAGCCCAGCTCAGACCAGGTGGCGTAACACCTGGCCAGGCGAAGGCGGGGTGAGGAGGCCATCAGAGTTCAGGGAGCGTCCCCCCATCCCTCGTCAGAGCACTCACTCACACACAGGGGCGCTTCAGGTGTGGGCCGCGTCCGACCCAACGCCGTCAGCGACCCCTGCCGCACAACACCTATGCCGCAGTCGGGGGCGGTCTTCGAGTCTTGGACCCTGCCAGCTGCAAAGCGACACACACCACAAGACAGACACAACACACGATCAAGTGAAACAGGCACGACAAATACATAGTAATGCGAAAAACAGAAAGAAAGCAAGACAAATCTGAGAAAGAAAGCAAGACAAAACGGACAAGGGAAGAAGGTACCTCGCTGTAGCGATGGAGCAGCACCTCACCTCCATCCGTGTGCCGCCCGCCGTGTCGTCTCCGCGCTGCCCGCCATGCTAAAGGGAATGGAAGGGGGGGATTAGATAGAAGCCTCTTGCTGCCCCGCACTGCCCCCTCGCCCTCCTCGCCCCACGAGTCGACCTGAAGGGAAGGGGGGGATTAGAGAGACACACAGGAAAACAAGATCAAGTGAAACATGCACGACAAATACATGAAATGCGAAAAACAGAAAGAAGCAATGCGGAAACGGACAAGGAAAGAGGCAAACCTTGCTCAAGCGATAAGTCAGCACCTCACCTCCGTCCGTGCCGCCCGCCGTGTCGTCTCCACTCTGCCCGCCATGCTGAAGGGAATGGAAGGGGAAAGTTAGATAGACGCCTCTTGCTGCCCCGCGCTGCCCCCTCGCCCTCCTCGCAGCCTGAACTGAAAGGAATGGAAAAGGGAAGTTAGATAGACGCCACTTGCTGCCCCGCGCTGGCCCCTCGCCCTCCTTGCAGCCCGAACTGAAGGGAATGGAAGGGGGAAGTTAGGCAGACGCCTCTTGCTGCCCCGCGCTGGCCCCTCGCCCTCCTCGCAGCCTGAACTGAAGGGAATGGAAGGGGAAAGTTAGATAGACGCCTCTTGCTGCCTCGCGCTGCCCCCTCGCCCTCCTCGCAGCCCGAACTGAAGGAAATGGAAGAGGGAAGTTAAATAGACGCCTCTTGCTCCCCCGCGCTGGCCCCTTGCCCTCCTTGCAGCCCGAACTGAAGGGAATGGAAGGGGGAAGTTAGGCAAACGCCTCTTGCTGCCCCGCGCTGGCCCCTCGCCCTCCTCGCAGCCTGAACTGAAGGGAATGGGAGGGGGAGAAGTGAGGACGGAGTGCGGGTCAGGAGGACGTCAAGGCATGGAAGAGGCGGCGAAGGTGCTGTAGGGAAAGACGAGGAGGCCTAGGGTGGGACCACACTTCAGGACGAGATCTGGAAAGAGTGGACGGTCCCACCCCACTCAAGATCAAGCCCTCAGGTTCCCTTGGCGACTCCCCGTCCCCATACGACAGCATCCCCTTCAATCCAAGCATCACATCAGCCAGCCCGTCAGTCGCTCCGTCTCGTTCCTCCGCCTCACCCCATGGACGCAGGGGGAGAATAGATGCCTCCGTCTCGTCGCAGCGCTACCTCCGCACCTTGCCTGCGAGCGCGTGGTCAGCAGGGCGGGTAGGAGGCAGCCACACGCCTGTGACTGCCGGCCGTGCGTCATCCCAACACGCTCGCATCCACGCCAGCAGCACCTTCGCCTCCACGCCAGCAGCACCTTCACCTCCTCGCCGGCAGTGGTGAGCAACACGGGGGGAATCAAGGCACGGGTGAGCAACACGGGGGGAATCAAGGCAGTGGTGAGCAACACGGGGTGAATCAAGGCAGTGGTGAGCAACACGGGGGGAATCAAGGCACTGGTGAGCAAGACGGGCGGAATCAAGGCAGTGGTGAGCAACACGGGCGGAATCAAGGCAGTTGTGAGCAACACGGGGGGAATCAAGGCAGTGGTGAGCTACACGGGCGGAATCAAGGCAGTGGTGAGCAACACGGGGGGAATCAAGGCAGTGGTGAGCAACACGGGGGGGATCAAGGCAGTGGTGAGCAACACGGGCGGAATCAAGGCAGTGATTTTCTTCTCCTAATTGACGAGGGGTCGAAGCTGCGTGCACACGCGCTGGCAAGCAGCTGCACCGCTCCCTCCGCGCCTCGCCGTTCCTCCGGAGGCGAGTGATCAGCAGGGCAGCAGAGTGGTGCCTGCCGTGCGTCATCCCATTGCCGCCATCCCGCAGGTGCAGTGCAGCAGCCTCCGCCCCTCCAGTCGCCACCTTCCTTCTCGCCATGCTGAAGGAAGGAAGCGGGGGGGTATGGAGAGAGACGCTCTTGCTGCCCACGCGCTGCCCCTTCGCCCTCCTCGCCCCACGTGAAGCCCTGAAGAGAAAGAAGGCGGGGATTAAGCAAAGACTATCCTCTTGCTGCCCTGCCGCGCTGCCCCCTCGCCATCCTTGCTTCTCTCGCGTGAAGGCCCGAACTGAAGGGAATGGAAGGGGGAGGAGTGAGGAAGGGTGGGCCCCGTGCTTCAGGACAAGACCAAGAGAGAGCTGGGCCCCCCCACTCTCAAATGACCGAGTCCGTCTGCCCCTCTTTCATATGAAGTGTTCCGACTCTGGCTGAGTAGTGGTGGTTGGTCTTGGACCTCAATATCAGAGTGAATGGTGAATGCTTGAGATAATTAAAACAAGCAAGGACAAGGAATATAAATAAGAGAACAGGGGAATATCAATTGTCCTAGCTGGCCATGTACTGTAAGGGGTACATTCCATTATTATAGCGAAATCCAACCGTGCGACTCCAGGTGGTTACGAAACTGTTCGGGTATAATCTTTGCCATAGCTGCTGCGTGATGCTGTCTGCCCGACGGTCCAGATCCTTCCGTAGCCGTACGATCCTTTGCATCATTTCCGCCTTTCCGTCTTCAGCCTCGGTAGTGCTTGCTTCGATTGTTGCAGTAAGGAGTGCACAGTAGTCCATTCATTTTTTCACTATTCGTAAAAACTTTGTGAGAATATGGCATGAAACTGCGGAGAGTCACCCTACAACGGGAGTGGAATACGATCCAGGGATGTATCGCCGCGATTTCCGCGAAGGATTCATGAGTCGCTCTCATACCTTGCTGCGATCAGCAATTGATCGTTCCTAGGATCGCATCAGGAACGTTCGTACACGGCTGAGTAGTGGTGGTGGGCCCTTGACCTCAATAGCAGAGTGAATTTAAAATGTTTGAGATAATTAAAACATGCAAGTACAAGGAATATAAATAAGAGTACAAGGTGTTAGAGGTCCACTGGTGATCCCCGATTGATCCTAAAGAAGGGTTACAGGCACGTTGGCCTAGGGGGTTATGGGCGCACTGACCCGCTACTTCACAATCCCTTTTATCCCAATGGTCCAGTGGTTGGGATACTGACATGGTATCAGAGCGAAGGTCTCGGGCTCGAATCCCGGTGTCTGCACTTAGGGCATCCCAGTGCGGGGGGGCGTCAGAGGTCCACTAGTGATCCCCGATTGATTTTAGGGAAGGGTTACAGGCACGTTGGCCTGGGGGGTTATGGGCGCACTGACCCGCTACTTAATAATCTCTTTTATCCCAATGGTCTAGTGGTTGGGATTCTGACACACGGGAATATCAATCGTCCTAGCTAGCCATGTACTCTAAGGGGTACACTCCCTAATTACAGTGAAATCCAACCGTGCGACTCCAGGTGGTTACGAAACTGTTCGGGTAGAATCCTCGCCACAGCTGCTGCGTGATGCTGTCTGCGCGACGGTCCAGTTCCTTATGTAACCGTACGACCCTTTGCATCGTTTCCGCCCTTCCGTCTTCAACCTCAGTAGTGCTTGCTTCGATTGTTGCGGTAAGGAGTGCACAGTAGTTCAAACATTTTTCACTATTCGTAACAACTTTGAGAAAATATGGCATGAAACAAATGCACAGGGTAACAAGTTGGAAGTTCTCACTTAGAACCATACTATCTTCCCCAATGGCATGAAATCTATAAACTGAGGAGATTTCCATTGAATACATGATGTCTACAGTTGCTATTTCAGTTCATTTGTGGAGCAGGCGAGGATCAGCCCAGGATGTACAGTACCGATCGATGATGTAATGTGGGCCCACAAGCATGCGCTCAGCCGTCCGATGAACATCACTAGAGACGATGATTGGAGGGAGAACCGCCGAAGGTCCGCCAGCACCTAGGTCAATCTCCGAAGCGCAATTTCTTAGCCCGCGCAAAAACCAGCTCAGCGCACACTTCCCGCTGCGCGCTTCTGTTTACGACCGTCGTTGATTCGCGACTGACTTTTCCGTGTTCCCCTCCTCTCCCCCCCGCCACTTTCTGCCAGCCGCGCGCCGCCTAGCGCAATCCTTCCCCACCCCACTCACTGACACCACTTTGGTTTGGCGCTGGTGGCGGAATGTCACCCTCGAGCCAGCACCACCCCTCCATCCAGTGAGCGAGAGTCACCACTTTGGGTTGACCCTGGTCACCCTCGTCGAGCCAGCACCACCTCCATCCAGAGCCAGCCAGAATCAGGCACCTCTTCCGACCGAGTGACTATCCCACATTACACTCTGCTTTCTCCCACTCTCTCATCATGCCAAGCTAACTACTCAAGGCCGCCATGAATTTCGTGAAAGATAGTACGTTCTATGTGCTTTCGCTGAGGCTTCCGTCTCCGTGGATTAATTCCGTTCGTTACAGATATATTCTGAGTGTTTTTCGCGGTGGTTTAGTTCCGCTTAAGCTCTGGGCCAGCTTAAACAGCTCGACGGTTAGATTCACCCTGGAGGCTGATATCGCAAGTATCTCAATAGCGTATGTGATCCAATCGTCAACATCTTTCAGCCACCACTTCAGCAAGTCGTCAACATCTTTCAGTGAACTGTTAGGGTTAGGAATGGACGGCTTATTTCAGTCAGAGATGTTGGCAGAATCAGCGACGGCAGTTACCTTCGTGCCAGTGGCATCAGCAGCAGCTCGGGTGTCGCGCGAGGGGTTTCTGCTTCAACCGAGCGACGACGGACAGGCGACGACGGACAAGCGAAGCTCGTGAAGGAATGCTCCCTACTACGGCTTTTAGATAAAATTCCGGGATTCTCCCTACGGCTTCATCCCTACGGCTTCATCATCGACATATCCTGATGCTCTTCTTCTTGAAGCCTCAGCTATGGCTTTCCGGCCGTATATTCCGTGGCATCATTGACAAATCATATCACCGAGATTTCACGGATCTCTCTTCTTATTCGTGTCATGTGATGAAGTCGGCGAACGACGAGCGGTTAGCAGCGACGAGCCTGATAACGAAAGGCGACTTTGCTGACGAGGAGGCGAAAGGCGATGACCGACGAGCATTGACCTCGGAAAAGCGACGAGCGGAATCAGAGAGCGGAAATGCGACGAGCGGAATCAGGGAGCGGAAATGCGAAGAGCGTGCGACCGTGTGCGCGCCGGCGACTTGATGCGTGCGACCGTGTACGGGATGGCGACTTGCTGCGTGTGACCGTGTGCGCGACGGCGACTTGCTGCGTGCGACCGTGTGCGCGACGGCGACTTGCTGCGTGTGACCGTGTGCGCGACGGCGACTTGCTGCGTGCGACCGTGTGCGCGACGGCGACTTGCTGCGTGCGACCGTGTGCGCGACGGCGACTTGCTGCGTGTGACCGTGTGCGCGACGGCGACTTGCTGCGTGCGAGCATGTGCGGGACGGCGACTTGCTGCGTGCGACAGTGTGCGCGACGGCGACTTGCTGCGTGCGACCGTGTGCGCGACGGCGACTTGCTGCGTGCGAGCATGTGTGGGACGGCGACTTGCTGCGTGCGACCGTGTGCGCGACGGCGACTTGCTGCGTGCGACCGTGTGCGCGACGGCGACTTGCTGCGTGCGACCGTGTGCGCGACGGCGACTTGCTGCATGCGTCTGTGTGCGCGACAGCGACTTGCTGCACCCGAGCCTGAGGAAACGACTCCTGGACTGCTGCACCTGAGCCTGAGGAAACGACTCCTGCACTGCTGCACCTAAGGCCAAGGAAGCGACTGCCGCACTGCTGCCGAGCGACTGCTGCCGAACGACTGCTGCCGAGCGATTGAGGCGAGGAGGAATGGCGCCACTGCTGCCGCACCGGAGGAACTTGTGAGTTGCCTTCCCTACGTTGCCTTCCCTACGTTGCCTTCCCTACGTTAGCTGAATCTGTTCTTCAGCACCTTCAATGTTGGAAACCCGGGAGATTTTCTTTCACTTCTTGCTTTCTTAGGAACTCCATCATCTAGTCACTGATGCTGACCACTGCTCGCCTCTCAGGGAGCTGGCGAGCAGCAAACTGCGGTAGCGGCGAAGAGGACACGGGTGGACGGAGCGATGGCTGAGGCGAGGAGGAACGGGCGCCGCTGCCTCAACCCCTGCCTGCTGAAAGAAGGCTAAGATATCTCGTTTACTCACGCACTTGTTGGCACTCATTCGCACTTGCTCGCTTCCGCCCTCATAGCCGCCGCCTCCTCGCGCCACTCGTTCCTCCTCCTCCAGCTCGCACCGGCGGCACCATTGGACCATTCCCCAGGTGTGTTGAGGTAACGGCGGCATCATGTGTAAGTAGGTGTGCTCAGGTACGGTACGGTCCTTTGGTGCCCGCCCTGCAGCTGCCACCCACCACCCCGCCTGCGCTGCCGCTGCCGCTGCCGCTGCTGCCGCTGCTGCCTCTGACACTGCTGCTGACACTGCTGCTGCTGCCGCTGCCGCTGGCACTGTCATTCACTACACTGCACTGGCACTGTCACTCACACCACCTTCACCTGATACATGCTTTTCAGTTTTTTTTTTCGCCTTTCGTTTTCCGTTTCCTGCATGCTTTGTCAGTTGTCCATATCTCTTACTAATCATTTGCCCCCCCTCTCCTCCAGCCCACATCCTCTGCTTGCACGCCTACAGGCCGGCACACGCCATACGTGGGGGGCAGCAGCGACGGGGAAGCAGCGACAGGCGAGAATCACTGACTGGCGGACGGACGGACGGGCTCCTCTGCCATTCACCTTGTAAGTTGCCCTCCACCACTCGTTCCGCCCTGGTGCGTTGAAATCTTAGCGCCCTTTTTTTCTGTTTTTGTCAGATTCGAATAGCCAGGGACTGATGCTGTGCTCTGTCACTTGTGAAGGTCGCCCATGCACTTGAGGCGAGGAGGTAGAGGTAGCTACGGGGCGGTGGGATGACGCACGGCCTGGGCATGCCCTGCTGACCACCGCTGTCCCTGCATACACCTCCCGGCAGCAGCAGCAGCAGCAGCAGCAGCAGACATTGTGCCTTGGGCCTTGGACATTGAGGCTTGGATTGGACATTGAGGCTTGGATTGGACATTGGCTAGCTAGGGGCAGTGCCCTGAGGCAAGCGGGCAGAGGCCCGAGCGTGTGAGGCACACGCGGCAACGGCAAGGGCGAGCTCGACTGGTGAGTGCATGCTTGCAGCAAGGTGTGTGTACTGCACGAGCGTGGGTACGCGCTCGTGCGTTGCTGCAGCGCCTTCAACGCGCCACCTTGGGGACTGACAAGACCCCGCCTTGCTGCAGACTACAGCACCTCCAGCGCCCACACTCACGGTACGTCGCTCGTCGTGTTCCCGCCTTTCCTTGTTGCTGCTGTCTCTTCTTTCTTTCCTCCGTTCGCTTCCTTGCTTGTTCACGGTTCCTCGACTCACCACCGTGCTTGTTGTTCCATGCAGCGCACTCAACGCAAGCGCATGCAAAGGGAGGGGAAGCGTGTGGGCGTGTGGCTGAGGTGGCTGAGGTGGACGGCACGTGGCTGAGGTGGACGCGAGCGTGGTAAGATGACGCACGGCTGGCAGTCACAGGCGTGTGGCTGCCTTCTACCCGCCCTGCTGACCACTCACTCGGAGGCAAGGCGCGGAGGAGGAGGCGAGGAGGAGGCGAGGTGGAGTGGAGCGATGGGTGGGTGGAGGAGGATGGATGGGTGCTGCACTGCACCTGTGCGCGGAGGCGGGTGGTGACTGGAGGGGCGGAGGCGGGTGGCGACTGGAGGGGTGGAGGCGGTTGGCGACTGGAGGGGCGGAGGCGGGTGGCGACTGGAGGGGCGGAGGCGGGTGGCGACTGGAGGGGCGGAGGCGGGTGGCGACTGGAGGGGGGGAGGCGGGTGGCGACTGGAGGGGCGGAGGCGGATGGCGACTGGAGGGGCGGAGGCGGGTGGCGACTGGAGGGGCGGAGGCGGGTGGCGACTGGAGGGGCGGAGGCGGGTGGCGACTGGAGGGGCGGAGGCGGGTGGCGACTGGAGGGGCGGAGGCGGGTGGCGACTGGAGGGGCGGAGGCGGGTGGCGACTGGAGGGGCGGAGGCGGGTGGCGACTGGAGGGGCGGAGGCGGGTGGCGACTGGAGGGGCGGAGGCAGGTGGCGACTGGAGGGGCGGAGGCGGGTGGCGACTGGAGGGGCGGAGGCTGCTGCACTGCACCTGCGGGATGGCGGCAGTGGGATGACGCACGGCAGGCACCACTCTGGTGCCCTGCTGATCACTGCTCGCCTCCGGAGGAACGGCGAGGCGCGGAGGGAGCAGTGCAGCTGCTGGCGAGCGCACGTGCATGCAGCTTCGACCCCTCCTAAATACGTCTAAGAAATCTCTCTTCTCTTGACATTTTGACACTCTTGTTCACGCTATATTTTCACGCTATATTTTGACACTCTTGTTCACGCTATATTTTCACGATTGCACTCGTTCTTTCATTGCTCGCCTTCGCCGTCATTGCCACTACCTCCTCCTCTCGCCACTTGTGAGTGTGCCTGCTGCTTACTGCCTTGCGTGTGCTTGCGTGTTCGGTTGTAAGTGTGCCTGCTGCTTACTGCCTTGTGTGTGCTTGCGTGTTCGGTTGTAAGTGTGCCTGCTGCTTACTCCCTTGTGTGTGCTTGCGTGTTCGGTTGTAAGTGTGCCTGCTGCTTACTGCCTTGCGTGTGCTTGCGTGTTCGGTTGTAAGTGTGCCTGCTGCTTACTGCCTTGTGTGTGCTTGCGTGCTCGGTTGTAAGTGTGCCTGCTGCTTACTGCCTAGTGTGTGGTTGCGTGTTCGGTTGTAAGTGTGCCTGCTGCTTACTGCCTTGTGTGTGCTTGCGTATTCGGTTGTGAGTGTGCTTGCTGCTTACTACCTTGTGTGTGCTTGCGTGTTCGGTTGTAAGTGTGCTTGCTGCTTACTGCCTTGTGTGTGCTTGCGTGTTCGGTTGTGAGTGTGCTTGCTGCTTACTGCCTTGTGTGTGCTTGCGTGTTCGGTTGTAAGTGTGCCTGCTGCTTACTGCCTTGTGTGTGCTTGCGTGTTCGGTTGTGAGAGTGCTTGCTGCTTACTGCCTTGTGTGTGCCACTCACACCTGATGCATGCTTTTCAGTTTTTTTTCGTCTTGCGTTTTCCGTTGCCTGCATTCTTTGTCAGGTTTCCGTATCGCTGTATTCCCCTAATCATCTCTCTCCTAGGCACGCGGAAGTGCGAGCGTGGTGGGATGACGCACGGCCGGCAGTCACAAGCGTGTGGCTGCCTCCTACCCGCCCTGCTGACCACGCGCTCGAAGGCAAGCCGCGGAGGCGGCGCTGCGACGAGTCGTCTTTCTCCCACGTGTGCTGGCTTCTCCCCCTGCGTCCATGGGGTGAGGCGGAGGAACGAGATGGAGAGACTGACGGGCGGAATTGAGGCGATTACAAGGAGGGGTGCTGCTGAATGGAGAGGGAGAGTCATACAGAGCCGAGGGGGTGTGGATGGGCTTGATCATTTGAGAGTGGGGGGCCCAGCTCTCTCTTGGTCTTGTCCTGAAGCACGGGGCCACCCTCGGCCTCTGCGGGCTACTCACATACCTCCAGCACCTTGGCCCTTGGATCTGTCCTCTTCCATGCCTGTCTCACGTCCTCCTGACCCGCACTCCGTCCTCACTCCTCCCCCTTCCATTCCCTTCAGTTCGGGCCTTCACGTGGGGTGAGGAGGGCGAGGGGGCAGCGCGGCGGGGCAGCAAGAGGACTTCTCTGCTTAATCCCCGCCTTCCTTCTCTTCAGGGCCTCACGTGGGGCGAGGAGGGCGAGGGGGCAGCGCGCGCGCATCAAGGGGCGTCCCTCTGGTTAACCCCCCCCCTTCCATTCCCTTCAGCATGGCGGGCAGCGTGGAGACAACACGGTGGGCTGCACGGACGGAGGTGAGGTGCTGATTTATCACTTCAGCAAGGTACGCCTCTTCCCTTGTCCGTTTCCGCCTTGCTTTCTTCCTGTTTTTTGCATTTCATGTATTTGTCGTGCATGTTTCACTTGATCCTTTTGTTTCTGTTTGTCTCTCCACCCTCCCCCCCCTTCCATTCCCTTGATGTCTACTCGTGGGGCAAGGAGGGCGATGGGGCAGCGCGCGCGCATCACGAGGCGTCCCTCTGGTTAACCCCCCCCCTTCCATTCCCTTCAGCATGGCGGGCGTGGAGACGACACGGCGGGCGGCACGGACGGAGGTGAGATGCTGATTCATCGCTTCAGCAAGGTAAGCCTCTCTTCCCTTGTTCGTTTCCGCCTTGCTTTCTTTCTGTTTTTCGCATTTCATGTATTTGTCGTGCATGTTTCACTTGATCCTTTTTTTTCTGTTTGTCTCTCTAATCCCCCCCTTCCCTTCAGGTCGACTCATGGGGCGAGGAGGGCGAGGGGGCAGCGCGGGGCAGCAAGAGGCTTCTATCTAATCTCCCCCTTCCATTCCCTTCAGCATGGCGGGTAGCGCGGAGATCTACACGGGGGGCGGCACAGCGGGCGGCACAAGGACAGAGGTGACCTTCTTCCCTTGTCCGTTTTGTCTTGCTTTCGTTCTCAAATTTGTGTTGCTTTCTTTCTGTTTTTTCTGCTTCGTCGTGCCTGTTTCACTTGATTGTGTGTTGTGTTTGTTTTGTGCTGTGTGTCGCTCTGCAGCTGGCAGGGTCCAAGACCCGAAGACCGCCCCCGACTGCGGCATAGGTTTTGTGCGGCAGGGGTGGCTGACGGCATTGGGTCGGACGCGGCCCGCGCCTGAAGCGCCCCTGTGTGTGAGTGAGTGCTCTGACGAGGGATGGGGGGACGCTCCCTGAACTCTGACGGCCTCCTCACCCCGCCTTCGCCGGGCCAGGTGTTACGCCACCTGGTCTGAGCTGGGCTGTGGGACGCTGCAGCCCGGCTCGTGTCGCTTAGGGGCTGCAGTCCCACACGAAGGGTCCCCACCTCAACGCGGTGTGTGGGTGTATCACTAGGGGTTAACCCCCCTAGTGGCCAAGAGGGGCCCAAAAGACCCAAGACCGTCGAGAGCTCTATTATGATTTTATTTTTATATTTTAGATTATTGTTGCCTAGATAGTGATGGTATGGTAGCTCTGGTTAGGTCATTAAACAGACAACTACCGGTAGGTCTCAGCATGCACGATTGAAACTAGGTAACGCACACCAGGCAAGCACATGCTGCAGCGTTGCTGATAAACAGGAAATGAAGGGCTTCTAACATCACAGATTAGCGGGACCCTTCACATTCAGTTCATTAAATCATAGCAAAACAATCAGGAACACGCAACAGAGGCTAATTCCTTCTGACATGGCAACGTGTCCTCTCAAACATGGGACAATGCCACTTGTGTCTCCACTTAGTGCTGACCGACCACCCAACAGTGACTCATGGAAGTCCCTACCCATCAACACGGTAACAGCATGCCGAAGTGAAGTCGTTCACACACCTACGTACTTCCTCACTCCTCTACTCCATACCCTGTACTGCACACCTCCTAACGTGTCTGCTACAGCCGAGTGCACGCCTCCCCTTTCCCTAGAGCCGAGTTCAGGCGAAATCAATGTCGTCAGGAGCAAGCCGCGTGAGCCAGTTGCTGCTTTGCGATTCTGAGACGCCTTGAAAGTCCGCTACAGCCGAGTGCAGGCAAAGTCAAAGTCACACATACGAGTAAGACAGGGTACACAGCCAGCACCCTGCGGTAAGGAATTGCTGTGCTGTCAGTTGTTGTGTAAGGAATTGCTGTGCCGTCTGCTGTTCTGTAAGGAATTGCTGTGCTGTCTGCTGTTCTGTAAGGAATTGCTGTGCTGTCTGCTGTTCTGTAAGGAATCGCTGTGCTGTCTGCTGCTCTGTAAGGAATTGCTGTGCTGTCTGCTGTTCTGTAAGGAATCGCTGTGCTGTCTGCTGTTCTGTAAGAAATTGCTGTGCTGTCTGCTGTTCTGTAAGGAACTGCTGTGCTGTCTGCTGTTCTGCGAGGTATTGCTGTGCTGGTACGCTAGTCATTAGCGAGCACAAGGAAGCCAATAGCAGTGTAGAGCAGGAACACAGGGTACACTGCCAGCACCCTGCGAGTCTCAGGAACAGCCTTCGCCACGAACGGGTATGCAGCCGAGGAGCTCCAAGCGAATGTGACTAATACGAGCGCCATGCGGGCGAGCTTGGCGGTGGTGAGTAGGCAGAGGAGGGCGGCAAGGTCGAGAGGCACGAGGCAGTAGCCGAGAAGGGAGAGGCTCTGGAAGAATATGATGCGCCCGCCCTGTGGTGAGGGGGAGAGGGGTGCAGGAGAGAGAGAGAGAAAGATACGCAGGGCGACATGAGGGGTGCAGTGAGGTGCAAAGGGGCGTATGTGTGTGAGGGGCAGTAGCCGAGCAGGGAGAGGCTCTGGAAGAATATGATGCGCCCGCCCTGTGGTGTGAGGGAGAGGGGTGCAGGAGAGAGATGTGACGCAAATGAAAAGACATGACGCGGGGGTCCATGAGGGGTGCAGTGAGATGCAGAGGGACATGCCTGTGCATGGGGCAGCCTAAGGGGTGCAGTGAGATGCTTATGGGTACACGTGTGCCAGGGGAAGCACGACGGGCAATGAGGTGGCGAGAGAGAACGGGAGCAGGGACGAACATGTGTCTGGCTGAGTGTGTGCGTGAGTGTGTGCGTGAGTGTGTGCGTGAGTGTGTGCGTGAGTGTGTGCCCGAGTGTGTGTCTGAGTGTGTGCCTGAGTGTGTGCGTGAGTGTGTGCGTGAGTGTGTGCGCGAGTGTGTGCCATAATGCTTATGAGGCACTCACCAGCAGCTGCACATTGAGAGTGAGGACAACGGCTCCTGCTGACACTGTTCCGAACACCACCGCAAACACATGCGCCTGTGACGCACAGAGAACGAGTGAGTCACTCAATTAGTGAGAACCCTTTCTTTAGCACATGCAAGATGGAACGGCGCAGACAGTTTGCAAGTCGCATGCCGGTGGATAATGCAAGTCTGCACAGCTCTGCACAGCTCTGCCGTCGCTACACTCACCTTGATCTGCGTCCATTATGCTCACCTTGTTGTGTGTGGCAGACGAGGAGAGCAGCAGCGCGAGGGTGATTATAAAGAAGAACGGCCCCCACAGGTCCCAGTCTCTGAGGGAGCTCCGTTCACTCGGTATAAGCACACACCGCAGGTTCACCCACACTCGCTGCACGTCTCTCCATAGGGTTACTGATACAGGCTCTGGTGGGAGGAAGTGTGGGGGAAAGGAGGAGGTGAATGGAACGAAGGCTCGAAATTTGACCCAACTCACTGCACGTCCCTCCAAAGGAATTCTGATACGGGCTCTGGTGGGAGGGGGGGAAAGAGTGGAATGGAAAAAGGGAATTTCTGGAATCTACTCAGATTCGTGCACACGCGCTGTACGTCCCTCCACAGGGTTAACGACACGGGGTCTGGTGGAAAGATACGTTGGGGGAAGATGAATGGAATGGAAGGGGGGAATCTCTTCTTTGACTCAAGATTCACCCACACTCACTGCACGTCCCTTCACTCACTGCACGTCCCTTCACTCACTGCACGTCCCTTCACTCACTGCACGTCCCTTCACTCACTGCACTGCTCTGGTGGGAGGGGAAGCCAGGAGGGGAGGAGTAGGACTGAAATGAAATGCGGGGCCGTTGAGACGACTGACTTCCAAAGCGAGTGATTCCCCGTGCGACTGACTCTCCATGCGACTGACTTCCCATGCGACAGGTTCCCCTGACTCACGGCCCGACTCACCCGTCAGCGTGTTCTGCGGGCGCGGCGGGGGGATGGCGGCGCTGGCGGCGCTGGCGACGCTGGCGACGCTGGCGACGCTGGCTGGAGCGACGCCGCTGTATTCGTGGGAAAGAGCGGGCGTGGCGCGGAAGAGGTCATCTACGAAGTCTGCCTGGGATGGCAGCAGCGGCTGGGTTGTCGTCGCCATGAGCGCGCCTGCTAATCTCAAGCGCACCGAATGTGGACAAAGGGATAGACGCCGAGCAGCAGGACTATGCACGAATCGCGACCGTAGAATGGAGGAATCGCGGCAGGTAGTAACTATAGTCAACAGAAAATCCGAACTTCAGGTTGTCAGATTATTCTTTCCGGTACGCATGTGCGCTTCCCTTACGACGCGTTATAATCTGACACTGGCACCACTTGTAAGATTGGTGCATTTGGTATCGGAAAAGTGGAACAATCTACCGTGTGCTGAAAGGGTCTCTGTATAGCGCGGATTTTTCGACTAGGGGAGTGCACAAATCACCGATGATTGGGTGCCGAACATTCTGGAGGGGCGGTGGCAATCAATTGGTGGTTGCGTGTTGCGAAAGCTGTCGCCATCGCTGTGAAGGCTGTCAAGTCTTCGTAAGTCGTGACTCCTTGATTACACTGACGGCCCAAACCAACCAAGCAACCTCGAGGACACCTGTTATCGCTGCTTCTCATTCTTCATTCTCACGGACAGTTCTTGTCGAGTTCGCCATAACTTCTGTTTGAACGAGTTTGCCCATCTTCAGACGTCACACTAGCTCTTCCCACCTACCTTACGTTCTGAAGCATTCTCGCTGCGGGATCCAGCGATCGCTGTGTTTCCTCACCCCGTTTCTATCTCTTCGCTACCGTTCACTAGACAGGATGCCGCGTGCAACCAGCAGATCTTCTGGTATGCGTTTCTTTCTTGTGACCAGTATCTCGATTCATTATGATTCGTACGTGGTCACCGACATTCCGTTACCTCTGAATCATGTGTCTTTCTGTCTGCGTTTATCGCTCTCGCCGGCAGGATCGAGGGCCTCTGCTCCAGCGAGACCAGCGCCGAGGCCAGCACCTGCATCGCACACTCACTCCGCGCCTCCACCCGCACCTGGTACTCCATCAGATTGGACCGTTATCGCCCGTTAGTCAGATCTTCGTGCCTGATCCATCCAGATTAGTCAGATCTTCAGCTCCTGCTTTCAGATTCTCAACCTCGCCTCTTCTCATGACACCTCGCATTCTCGTGTTCCCTCCTTCCCGATTGGTTGCGCAGCGGCGCAACCAGCGCCTCCCCCAGCGCAGCCAGCAGCAGCCTCTGGAGGGGGGAGCATGCTGGGTGGGTTGATGCAGACGGTGGGAGAGGGCATGGCGTTCGGAACAGGATCCGCCATTGCCAACAGAGCGGTGGATGCCATCATGGGTCCGCGCACTGTCGTGCACGAGCACGTCAACTCCGCCGCGCCTGCCGCCGCGCCTGCTGCCGCTCCTGCGACTGCCAGCTCGCCGTCGGACTGCGCTCAGCTGCAGCAGGATTTCAACAAGGTAGGCCTTAGTGCGAGAGATCTGAAATATTCCCGAAAGATCTGTCGTTCATGGGAAGCAATGCAGGATTGCTTTGGGTTCGGGGCTTCACAATGCCCCTCACTGCTTGTCTGTTCTGGGCAGTGTGTGGAGATGCATGGGAGCGACATCTCCAAATGCCAATTCTACCTGGACATGCTTACTGAGTGCAAGCGGAACGCCTCTTCAGGTCAGTTGGACTGTTCCCACTGCATTTTTGGCAAGGCTCTTCCACACAGCCGTTGCTTCCACTGCTCATTGCTAACCATCTGTTTGATGCCTTGATTTTTATGTCATGCAGGGAATACGTTTCAGTGAAAGCATATTGTTCAGGTTTTCATTATTTTGTTAAGTTAATGCAGGCATCACGCAACACTCAGGCTTCCCCCCCATGTTATTGTAATCTCATCACCACCACCTACCAGTAAGCCATTCCATTTGTCTAGGACTTGG